GATCATTAATGATGGTATGGCTATATCGTAGAGTGATCTGAGATGAAAACGTATAGTTTCAGCGGATGAGTGCTTTATGGCAAAACACACGTTTGCGAGTGAAGATTAGAGACACAGTCAATTGTTGCGAACAAATTGAAATTAAATTTAAAAGAAGCGAATAGTCAGGATGAACCTGATCATCGGTGATTTCTTTGGAAACTGTTTCGCCAGCATCTTGCAGTACCAACTCCACAATGGCCATATAATTATGTTCGTGCATTTCACACTTGAATTTTATTGCTTGAATCAATTCTGATACAATCGCTTTTGTTACGCATTGCTTATCACGTTCCTTAAAGCAGCAATGCTTTTTCAATTAGTTCGTACAATTTTCACATTTGCAAGAACGTCAGAGAGTTGACGGTAATCGTGATTGACACTTATTGACGGGTTGTTCTGATCTTTTCATGAAGGAAAATGATAAGGGTGCTTGTGCACTCTGAATATGCAAAACATCTCCCTTACGCATTACTTTTGGTCATTCAAGGTTCCACCATTATTGCTATTATTACAATTATTATTTTATTTTCATTATTTCTACTTATTGCTATTGAAAAATGCGTGTATCAGCGCTATTCCACAACTTCATTTATGAATGCAGTTGATCTGTGTAGATCTGTACGTAGGAGAATGAGTGAGTGAATACCCTGATGAGTGCACGATTGCAGGCTGTACACACGGTCAACATATCCAGCAAATCCGCCTTACATTCGTGCATCGCTTCTGTCAACCACTTCGAGAAGCTTTCAGCAAGTGCCACCGAAGACTGAAGTAGAATTGACAGTTATAGGATTGTTTTACCGAAATTTTTCGAAATTTCATTTAAAAAAATTTTTTTTCCTTCTATATCAGTTTGTAACTTGAATATATGTACGAGAAAAATTTATGAAGCAAACTCATCACATTAATGGATGATCAGAACTAATAATCAATACTATATAAAGAATCAAGCGAAATGTGTATAATTGGAGAATAAACTCAGACAATCACTTGATCATCTGTTGAATTGCTGAAGCCTAATCAAGCATGATGAGTTCAAATGACCTTGAAGGTGGAAAAATTCTGAACACGCATAACGACACTCATAATCTCGAAACA